ATTCAACAAAACCCACTCACAAGAAAAAATTGAATAGATCATTTGATTTTTGAAGTCAGTCAAACGTTGAGTTGGGTTATCGAACAAAGTGGAACTCACATAAGGAATACTCGAAAGGAACAAAATCAAACGTTTCAGTTCCAAACAATTGATGCCAAGTGTTTTAACTATTGATCTAGTGTGAAAGCAGTCAATTCGATGTAAGGTCCTGCTTCTTTTATTATTTCCATTTCAGAGTTAAATTCTAAAATAAACATTTTCTGTGAAAATGTCAATACATTTATTTTGTTTACCAGGGGAAAAGTCTTTAAATCTGCAAGTTGATATCTTCTTGGGAATCATCTCAATTATTACTCCTCACTCCTTAATAAATTATTAGCCTCAATTGTAGCATACTCTGAATCCAGCACTCGTCAGATTTTCCTGCCTTGTTGAGTTGACTCAGTTTTCACATTTGATTTTTTTTCCAATATAATTTGGTTTGTTTCGATTTTGTTCAGGCATCAAACTCTCAAAAAAACTGGTTTGATATTGTTTGATGGCTAAACTGTTTTGTTCGGGGGAGTTTGATGGGAATTTTGTTTTGTGTAATACATTGTACACCGGAAGTATACATTTAGACTGCAATAAATTATCTGTTGCCCACCAGGGTGATCGCTTTACAAGTTGTGAGAACATCATTTCTTGCACCCAGACCTTGTTACTTTCCCCTGCCTACCCTGGTATTGACCCTGTCCGTGTAAATGATAATGTGGAACCTGAGGGAGGTTGTGCCCTTGAAAAATAGGCTTTTTGTTACTGGTACTGGAAATTATAGACAGCCTCTGTTTACATTTACATGTAACCCCGGTCCACAGTCTTAAAGTTGCAGGTTGCAGGCAACTTAATGTACTATCTATTACTATGAAACACAATTATATGTAAATGTAATGTGATGAATCAGGGTTGTCAGAAAGTTTTGAAGACGGCTAAGTTGTCAAAGTAAGCGGCCAGTAAATTATATGTATATTACTCATTTAGTATGTTTTAATCTTATGAGAATATCTTCATTAGTCGAGTTATCTTACTGCTAAAAGGTTTTCCACCCCCCCCCTCTATAGCCTGGGGAATAGCCTCTGTGTTTTACTTAAATAGCACTTGGTTTTGTTTTTCATACAACAGGCAGATCACCTTGGTATGTGATGTTGGTGCAGAACGTTCTCTCAAAGCAAGCAGGCTGGATCATGGAACTTAATTTCAGTCTCAAGTTACTGTGCTTTATCAGGGGTGGATCTAAGGGGAGGGTGCAGGGGGTGCGCACCCCCGAGATGACCTGCGGTTTTCTAATACAACTGGTATTCTGCACACACGCAAAAAACTATGTGGTTTATTGGTGTTGGAGTAGAGCAAGAGACGACTGCACCCCCTCCTAAAAAAATCCTGGATCCGCCCCTGTTTATGCTTAGTCAAGTTCTGCAAATGTTAATCTTGAAATACTACTTCCATGCTAGAGACAAAAAATGTCCAACTGCTACCTTGAGTGGGCAAGATGAAGCGAACCTTGCATTCTAATTGGCTACCCAAGCAGGCAAGATGAGCCCATTTTGCCCACTTGGGATTTCCCATGTTGGTCCCGCAAGTAAAAGTTCTCTTCTTGGCCATGTAATAATTCATTATTTTATTGAACAAGCTTGTTCAGTCAAGATGGCTGAATATTGGCCTCATTGATTTTTGCATTTTTATTGACCAAGACCAGGCTGTGCTTTGTGGCCCGTGGCGCCTACATCTGTAACTTTTGTTCTCAGGCGACTAGAAAATCTTTGCTTTTTCACAGAAATCATTTGTTGGGCACACTGGATTTCACAAGTTCAGAGTGCTGGGCTGCCTTCAATTTTTCTTAGAGCACAGCCTTGCAAGAGGAAGGCAGGGTGAATAAAGACACAAATATTCAGCCATCTTAACCTCACACCCGGTCAATAAAGCATAATTATTTATTAAAATTTTATGTTTGAATCCGTGAGTGGGCAAGATGAAGCAAATCCTGTGTTCTAATTGGCTACTCAAGTGGGCAAACCAGTCAAGCTTGTTTGGTGAAGATAGCTGGGTGTTGGCCTCGCAAGAAAGAGCTTGACCAATATCCAGCCATCTTGACTGAATGTTGGTCAATAACGCATAATCATTTTGAACAATAATAATTATTAGAACTTTGTGAACATCTTTTCCAGAAAGGCATTTTATATTGCTTTAAAAAGGCTAGCTTGTGCTATATTTTGTTCTTTGAGAGGCTTAAATGTGTCTTGGCGTAAATTAAGTTCGACAAATAATGGTCCAGTTTTAATTGAGGCATTGGGACTGTTTCCCATCACCTCTTGCTACGTATGACAAAGATGATCATGGATTGAAACTTGGCCAACTTTTTCAAGCTTAAAATAATGCTATGACTGCATAAATCACCAAGAATTATTATGGTTTGTGCTTCCTGATGAAATTGGCTTGATGCATGTATCTTCTTCATAACTCTACAAGTCGAGCATTGTGTGTATGGGTAAAGACACTAAGTAATGACTTCAGCATAGAATTGACCTAAAATGTATACATGAAACACATAAACGGTTTTAGCAGACTTGTATTATGTAAAACTGTAGTCATACTTTGTTTGTTGATGTATTTTTTTTGCATTTGAACCTTTGCACTGGTCATAGAAAATTGTGTAGTTTAGACCACCATGTCAGAAGAGTAAGAATATTTCCGGACACAATATAATATTATCCTGAAGCAGAATGGTCATATAAGGAAGTGGTATATGATCATACAGGTTAGTTAAGTACTTAGTGGGACTGTTGACAGGAACTGATGTTTTTGACAATGCCCATGAAAATGATGATCACCTTGTTGTCAAAACGTTGGTCGCTGTCAACAACAGTGCTACTCAGGACTACAATGTACATTCACCCGACAAATCATATTCAACTTTGTTGAAATATGATAGACAACCAAAACTATCACTAGCCATAAGCTGCACATGAAAGTGTTTATCACCATCTGCTATAAAGGATATTAATTTGTTAACAGATTTGACATTTTCTTCACAAAAAAAAAAAATACGTTGTCCTACAGAAAATGTCTTGTGGATATCTTAAAGGAAGCCTCTTACTATTCTTATTTATTGCTAGTGTGAATAGGCACTCTCACTTAAAATGCAATTTAACTTAAGCAATGTAATAAATAAATACTATAAGAAGACCTGGGTTGAGTTGCTGAAAGCATGGTTAGCTTTAACCATTGGTTAAGCAGTATCAAAACCAATACGTTGTCAAGGTATTAAACGCTGGTTAACGCTAACCATGCTTCGAGCAACTGGGCCCTGATTGTCAATTTAGGAAGCAAGGAGAATAAAGAAAGTACTTGGAAAGATTGCTTTGGTATTATTTTATGCAATAAAAATGTCGAGAGAATGGGTTTTTGTTACTATAGATGGCGGCAAAACCACCCCAGCATGGTGAAAAGCGCTTTTTCCACGATGGAAATAACTTGAAAACACCAGTTTCCGACTCGTAAACTCGTGTTTCCGCAATAGTTACATCCGATTACGTTGACGGAAACATGAAATTGACTTGTTTCCGGAACGTTTTCGCGTGTTTCCGCAAGGATGCCACGCATTTATGCTTCCGGAAACACGTGTTTCCTTAGGTGGAAATTTGACGGAAACGTATAAAAAAAGTGGTACGATTCCGCCGAAAACGCAGCGACGGAAACACGTGATTACCGTCATGTTTCCGCAACGCTTTTATGTGTTTACGCTAGGTTTCCATTTACGGATTCTTGAAATTTCGCCCTGGATTTCTGGATTTTCATAGGTTAAACTTTATTGGTTTTACTTTATTTTAGCCGTGGCTAAATCTATAAATTATTCGAAGTGTGTAAATATTGCCACATATCCCATTGTTGTTATTATAACATATGACTACCGTAGTTAATTTCCAAGCTTCTCAGTGGTCTTGCCTCGCCACAAGATTAAGTTTAAGCTCAATCGACCCGGTAGCACGCTTACTAGTATTTTTCAAGGGTAGATCTTTTTCGGTATTAAGGGATAGGCCTATTAGCGTTGCAGCGCCGAAATTGTGAAAAGAGCTTCCCATTCGCACAAGTTACTGTACTTGCAAAAGTACGTAATACTTTTCGGCCCTATCCAGGCTAAAACCGGTTTCAATCGTCTACACCAGTTCGCAAAAAACACCCTGGAGAGTGGTTTCAAAAAGTTTTTTCTAAGAAAAATCAAGTCATTTGTGGGATCTTTCACGCGTACTCCTCTCGAGAGCTTTGCATAACTTGAATGTATCCTTGTCTTCCTTGTATCTATCCAGTACCCGTATAGGCTCGTATGTTTGCGGTATGTTACTAGTATGTAGTTATAGCTGAGCTTAAGCAACGAATACGTTGACGTTCTGCACGTCAAAAATAACAGCTGCAAGTTAATAAGTTCTCGCTTTAAGCGGTCTGTCTCAATAACTTCACCCTACAAGAGTAAAAATACAAAAAAAACAACAAACTGAACAAACTTCCGGTTGTTATTCATGACGGCCAGTATGGCAGCGTTCTCGTTGCTTAGGCTCGCTACCCGTTTAGATCCTTTGCTAAATGGGAATATGTAAGTCGTAGTACTCACGTAGACATTTTAGACAAGAGCAATTCAACTAAGCCCTATGTGTGTAATTTTGGTGGCCGTAGCATCAAGCGGTTCTGAAATTATAGAGGAAGACCCCGGAGGGCCTCCCGGTCGCAGGAAGCAAAACAAAACCCTGTCTGAACAGGGTTAAAGTCATTTTTCACGAGGAAATAAAAGTGGCAAAGCGTTATCGAAGAAAAAAAATATATATATAGAAGAAGAGGTTTGAACTTGAAATCCGTAAAACAGTGCTCAATACATAAAATAGAGCGAGTATACGTATGGTTGACGGAAGAAAACAAGTAACTACATAAGTATCCCTACAACCCTGTTTCGTGGTTGCCCACTCATCAGGGGACTCTACCGGGACGACGGACTTGCCATCACTGACGCTACGCCTAGAGAAACTGAGAACATCAAGAAAGAAATATGCCGCATCTTCAACGCTAACGGTTTGCGCATCACCATAGAAGCTAACAAACAAGTAATCAACTTCCTAGACGTCACATTCAACCTTAGCCGTAACACCTTCCAGCCGTATACAAAGCCTAACACTACATTACAATACGTCCACCACGAGAGCAACCATCCACCAATCACTACAAAAAACATTCCCGCAGGTATCAACAGACGCTTATCATCTCTTTCATCTAACAAAGCCTCCTTCGACCAAGCCGCGCCCGCCTACCAGAAAGCACTCGACGACAGTGGATACAGCTACACGCTTCACTACGAACCCACCCATACACGCAAACCGAAAAACCGACAACGCAATAAAATTCTATGGTACAACCCACCCTTTAGCAAGAACACCAGTACCAACATTGGACATAAATTCCTCGCCTTAATAGACAAGCACTTCCCCAAGGACCACAAGCTACGCAAAATCTTTAACAGAAACACCATCAAGATCAGTTACAGCTGCATGAACAACGCAAAACAAATCATCGACAACCACAACAAACGAATCTTGACTGCCCATGCTAAGACTGGTGCTACCACCGCTGCCGCCGACTCCGCCCCCACCATCATCAACAACAACAACAAGAAATGCAACTGCCGACAAAAGAACTCATGCCCCCTCAACGGGAACTGCCTTCAGCCTGCTGTCATCTACCAAGCTACTGTCACACGAAAAGACACCAACACGACAGAAACGTACATCGGGCTCACTGCGAACGACTTCAAAACAAGATACAGCAACCACATGTCATCATTCCGTCACGCAAAGAACAGAAACTCCACTGAACTCAGCAAACACGTCTGGCCCCGGTTGTTCAAACGTTGGATAGCGCTATCCAACGTTTGAACAACCGGGGCCTGGACTCTTAAAGACAACAACATCAACTACTCTATCGCCTGGCGCATTCTATCTTCACACCTGCCGTACAACAGCTCAAGCAAACGATGCAACTTATGTCTTAAAGAAAAATTCCTTATCATCTGCCGACCTGAACTCTCTACACTTAACAAACGTAATGAACTCGTGTCTTCCTGCCGCCACAGAAACAAAGCCCTCTTGCGCAACAACTGATGTAACGAACCTCGCACTGAATAAATTATGTAAATCAGTCTAGTATATAAGTAATGGTAAAGTTATTCTCATTAAAATCCCCTGATGAGTGGGCAACCACGAAACAGGCTCGTAGGGATACTTATGTAGTTACTTGTTTTCTTCCGTCAACCATACGTATATATAGAAGAAGGTAGAAAGAGTGCAGGCGTCCTTGTAATCTTGCCATTTTCAAGTTCAGAGAAAAGGTTGTGACTCCTCTTATCAACAAAGTTCGTCAAAATTTTACTCGACTTCATACAGTAATAATTAACAACAAAAAATCTTTAACCCTATTCAGACCGATCATTTTTTTCGGCTTCCTTCGACTTGAAAAGCCACTCATGCTATAACTTAAAAACCGCTCATGCAACGGCAACCCGTGTTACACAGAATAATGTACTCATCATTTCCAACTTCTAGGCCTAACTTTAATACGTAGTCCAAAGAGAGGATTGTAAATGGCCAAAAAATGCCCTAAAATATTTGTGAGACCGCGGGATGCCTTTGTGCCCGGTTGAAGAACATCAATCCTGGGTTAAGTGCAATGGACAGTCAGTGCAATGTTGAACACTAGCGGCCAAAGGGTCATAACATCAACTCAGACATTATCCCTGTATTTATTGCTGAAGATCACAGCATCAAACATCGCATCATGGAGGACATCTCTATTGAACAAAGAAAATCCTTTTTGAATAGGGAAAAGGGACTGGAACTCCAGGCCATTTACAATTCTCTCCTGACTGCGTAACAACAAAGTTAGCCAGTAGCCGTTCCCCATTATTTTCTAATTTTAATTCGTAGTTTAAAATTTGCTTTTGCTCTAAGTTTTGGAATTTTTTACATACGCTTGCAAGATATAATGATTCTCTCATGATAGTTGTGAAGTGTTTTAGTCTTCATAATTAGCAACAAAAATATACAAAAATTGAAACTTACAAATAATATAACTGATTGAGATTTGAAAATATCCCAGGTGGAAGATGTACAATTCTGTTGTTCTGCAGGAATCTGCAAAAATAAGTAATAGAGAGATGACGTGAGTGTGATTAGGAAATGCGATCGTTCAAAGGAACAGTCTGCACGCATAGCTGATGGCTGCACATGGTTCTGTTTCGGAAAATCTTGTCTCAGTCACGCAATTTTCAGTTTCTGAATATTGTCTCCAAATAATCCATTCATACGTACAGTTACTCTGATGACTAGTTTTCAAATTCCCACACGTACACAATGCAAAAATTTATTCGGCAAACAGTTGAAGTTTATGGATTTTTCTATTTCACCTTTTCCTGAGGGAATAAGACTTGTAACACATGTATAATGGTTACTGAGACGTTTCTGAAGCGCTTTACTTTTCCAGTTGACAATCCAGAGGGGAGAGGTGAAGGTGAGGCGGAATTCGTACCCAAGTATATCCATCAGACAGGAGGATTATTAACTTAAACTACCTAATTTTAAAACAGCTTTGAAGAATCGCGAAAAAGCTATCCTCTCTTAGCTTAAAACAAAGGTAGATTTGGATGTTTGTAGAAGGCAGTGTAGTAACCTGTATTAAGTGTATAAGAAAGGACCCATCTGTAATAAAACTTAATCACAAGGGCAATAAAGGCCCTATGTTTTCCAGAAATTAGCTCTATACTCAGACCAGTTGTATGGCAACATTAAATTTTGACCAATTAAAGCTGCTATGCAAAGTGTCAACGCCTGCTAATTTTCACATCGTCCACTAATTGACAAAACAAAACGGAGAGCTATCCCAAGAGTCGTGAGCTATTTCCCCGCTCTATATTAGCATAGTCAAGTGACCTCAGCCATGTGATTTAAAATTAATGGTTTTATTGTCTCAATCGAGACTGTATGGAAGTAACGTTGATACCCGGGGTTGGGGGACTCCGCATATGAAAGGGGTGGGGATGGTCGTTGGAAATTTTGAATTAAACCCCTAAAGGAGACCGATCTGGGCGTGGCCAAAGCTTTTTTTTGACCCCTAAAAGAGACCATGTTCGTAGGAGGGTGATTGGGAGACCTTTCGACGATCCAAAAGGAAGATGGCGTGTTGGCGGTGGGATTAATGTTCCAGTGAAAAATAAATGGAAGCAGCTCGAAGCTCGATCAGGGAATTAATGGACGAACTATTAAAAGTCAACATTAGGGCAAGAATCAAATAACACTGAAGCTTGTGAATATTTTTAGCCGTGATCGAATGCAGTAATCGTTTTGTGTCAGCAGCCAAGTTTCGTACCACACTCTTGTAAAACAATGGAAAAAGACGCCTTCTTTAAGTATTGATCTTATAGAAAACTTGGATTATATGAACGGAGTTAATAAAACGAATTAAAAATACACTTATTAAATATACATTTTTATATTTTGTCGCGTACAACCCTAAACGAGACCTTCACGGTTTCATATTTAAAAATATGCCTTCATATTTATTTTCGTATGCCTTCATATTTAAAAATATGAAGGCATTTTGCCCAGAACACTCTAAGTGAGACCAAAATCCGAAATTTACACCCCTAAGCAAGACGACGAGCATCCCCACCCTTTTCATATCTGGAGTCCCCCCGCCACCCGGGCGTTTATAACAGATAAGGTTTTTAGTACTCCTGGGTCTGGGTTGCAAAAAACATCTTAAGATTAAGGAAACTCGTAACTATTATTTCAAAACAATAGGTTATTGTTCCAGAACAAACGTTAAGAGCTCTCTTATCTTAAGAAGGTTTTATGCAACCTGGCCCTTGGCACTAACGCTTGGTTTAAAATGTTATTACTTATGGGAACTTTATCACGCTCGGGTCCTAGTTATTACGTACACTTGTGCTTTCTAAAAACGTTGCCCGTTCAACCATGGGGCTTGTCTGAATTAAAAAAAAGCTAAAACTAAAACTAATACCATTCAAGTACACCTCCTCTTATACGAAAGTGGTCACGTTTGTGAAAGAGTATACCGATCATTCACTGTGTCAAATGCTCTTGAGAGACAAACAACAGATCTAAAAACATATCCATGGTCTATTCTTTATCTTCAATTGCTTCCGAGACTTCCGCCTATAATGTTATGCTTATCTAAAAACTTAATGCCTCTCTTGTACATAAATTTCTCTAAAATTTTTGAAAACCATGGGAGAACTGAAATCATAACACAGGACGAAATAACGTGTTTCCTTATTTTGTAAACTCGACGGACAAATAGAGTTGCTTATAGCCGTCCCGTTTCCGCCCTGCGAAAATATGGTGATCTAGTTTTCCACAGCCTGTTACAGGCGTTCAGATGGTGGGAAAGGCGCAAAAAGATGTAAGCGGGAAAAAAAAAAAACAACAACAACAACGAAGGGGTTGGGTAGGGGTGAGAGCGAGGGAACGCCTGTAAGACTTTTTTTAACAAAAAGCTCGTTCCGGTATACCAGATTCTGGCCATGGTATACCCTATGATTGGTCACGTGCACTTTAAATCACATTTACGAACACGATGTTTAAAACTAGTCGGAGCACACATGTCCAATAAACACAAACGGATACGATTCGTCAAACTGCTGGTCCATTGGTACCAATGGTACGATCGGTACCAATAGAAAAGCACCCTATTCCAATGGTTCTATTGGTGAATATGCGTCTCATTAAGGAGACTTAGATTATTTTCCCATGTGACCTGGTTGGGTACAGGGCAATTCCAATGGTCCATTGGTACCAATGCTACGATTGGTACCAATGGAAAAGCACCCTATTCCAATGGTTCTATTAGTGAATATGCATCTCATTAAGGGGACTTAGATTATTTCCCCATGTGACCTGGTTGGGTACAGGGCAATTCCAATGGTACGATTGGTACCAATGGAAAAGCACCCTATTCCAATGGTTCTATTGGTGAATATGCATCTCATTAAGGGGACTTAGATTATTTTCCCATGTGACCTGGTTGGGTACAGGACAATTCCAATGGTCCATTGGTACCAATGGTACGATTGGTACCAATGGAAAAGCACCCTATTCCAATGGTTCTATTGGTGAATATGCATCTCATTAAGGAGACTTAGATTATTTTCTCATGTGGTCTAGCTGGGTACAGGACAATTCCAATGGTCCATTGGTACCAATGGTACGATTGGTACCAATGGAAAAGCACCCTATTCCAATGGTTCTATTGGTGAATATGCATCTCCTTAATAAGGGGACTTTGATTATTTTCCCATGTGACCTGGCTGGGTACAGGGCAATTCCGATGGTCCATTGGTACCAATGGTGCGATTGGTACCAATGGAAAATTATGCCATTCCAATGGTTCTATTGGTGCAAAACAAGTTCACTTTTACACCAAGTGAAAACGCGCTAATAATTATTATGAACGTTCCTCGTTCTATGAGAAAACCACGCAAAACAAGTTCGCTTTTACATCAAGTAAAAGCCCGCTATAATTCTTATGAATATTCCTCGTTCTATATCCCAATCACGCAAAACAAGTTCGCTTTTACACCAAGTAAAAGCGCGCTATGATTCTTATGAATATTCCTCGTTCTATAAGCCAACCATGCAAAACAAGTTCGCTTTTACACCAAGTAAAAACGTGCTAATAATAATGAATATTCCTCGTTCTATAAGACAACCACGCAAAACAAGTTCGCTTTTGCACCAAGTTAAAACGCGCTAATATTTATGAACTTATTATGAATATTCCTCGTTCTATCAGCCAACCATGCAAAACAAGTTCGCTTTTACACCAAGTTAAAACGCGCTAATAATTATTATGAATATTTCTCGTTCTATAAGCCAACCATGCAAAACAAGTTCGCTTTTACACCAAGTAAAAACGCGCTAATAATTTATTTTGAATATTCCTCGTTCTATAAGCCAACCACACAAAACAAGTTCGCTTTTACACCAAGTAAAAACGCGCTAATAATTATTATGAATATTTCTCGTTCTATAAGCCAACCATGCAAAACAAGTTCGCTTTTACACCAAGTAAAAACGTGCTAATAATA